TTTTGATTATTTTTAATTAATTCAATTTAATTTAATTTAATTGATTTAATTTAATTTAATTTAATTTTACTTCTTAATTCAATTTAATTTAATTGATTTAATCTAATTGATTTAATTTAACTGATTTAATTCAATTCAATTTTAGTTTTTAATCAAATTAAATTTAATTTAATTTAAACCAAAATCTGCATTTGTGGGCTCTGAGGTGTACAGACACCTCACCGCCTCCAACTCCACTTGCTGCTGCTGCAGCTGCTGCAGCTGCTGCTGCTGCAGCAGCAGCTGCTGCCGCCCCTCTTCCAGCCGCGCTTTGAACCTAAGCAGTTCAAAACAAAGTGCGCCCCAAACCCTAAACCCTAAACCCTAAACCCTAAAGCCTAAACCCTAAACCCTAAACCCTAGAAAAGCAGCAGGAGCCCTTCGCCGCCCCGCACTAGCTGCTTAGCTACACACACAGCTAACTATCTAATCTGAACAACTAGCTAGCTACCTAGCTAGCTAGCTAGCTGGCTAGCTAGCGAGCTAGCTAGCGAGCTAGCTAGCTAGCTAGCTAGCCAGCTAAACAGCCAGCTAGCTAGCTAGCTAGCCAGCTAGCTAGCCAACGAAACAGCCAGCGAGCTAGCTAGCTACCTAGCTACCTAGCTAGCTAGCTAGCCAGCGAAACAGCCAGCTAGCTAGCTAGCTAGCTAGCTAGCTAGCCAGCTAACAGCCAGCTAGCTAGCTAGCTAGCTAGCTAGCTAGCCAACGAAACAGCCAGCGAGCTAGCTAGCTACCTAGCTACCTAGCTAGCTAGCTAGCCAGCGAAACAGCCAGCTAGCTAGCTAGCTAGCTAGCTAGCTAGCTAAACAGCCAGCTAGCCAGCCGGCTAGCTACCTAAGCGTGGGTAAACAGCTACAGTTAGTTATTCAGCTAATCAGCTAGCTAGCTATCCAGCTAGCTAGCTAGCTAGCTAGCTAGCTAGCTAGATAGTTAGCTGGCTAGCTAGCTAGCTAACTAGCTATTGGCATTACCTGTAGAAGTCCCCAAGGAGGAGCCAAAAGAGCTGAACAAGTCTGTCTTTGGTGGCTGCAGGGACAACAGCAAAGTCGCCCTCAGTTTCTGCTGCTGCTGCTGCTGCTGCTGCTGCTGCTGCTGCTGAGTGGTAACCCTCTCTGTCTGCCCCAAACGGCAGCGTGCTGCTGCTGCTGCTGCTGCTGCTGCTGCTGAGGCTTTGCAGGAGCTGCAGCAGCTCTGCGTCTCGTTCTTCTGCTGTAGCGTCTTGCTGCAGCAGCAAGCAGCTCAGCTGCTGCTCGCCCTTCGCCGCCGCCTCCGCCGCTGCTGCTGCTGCTGCTGCTGCGGGTCCTTGCTGCTGCCCCTCCGCTGCTGCGCCCGCAGCAGCAGCTGCTGCTGCTGCTGCTGCTGCTGCTCCCCACTGCTGCATTTGCTTCCCTTTGTCTCTCAAGTAATTGCAAACCCGCAGCAACCTTTCATTCTTTTGCTGCAGTCGACGAACTGTCTCCTCCAGCAGCAGCTCTTTTCCCATTTTCTCGAGGGCCCCCGGGGGCCCCCCGGGGGCCCCCCGGGGCCCCTCAGGGGGCCCCCCGGGGGCCCCCCCGTGTCTGCCCCCCAGGGCGGGGTGGGCCCCCGGGGGGCCCCCCGCTGCTGCTTGCTGCTGCTGCTGCTGCTGCTGCTGCTGCTGCTGCTGCTGCGCCTGCTGCTGCAGCAGCAAATTCGTTTGGCTGTCGCGGGCCCGCTGGATGCGGCTGAGAGCCACAGAGTGAATTAAAGCTGACAGCAGCTGCTGCTGCAGCGGGGAATTCAGCAGCAGCTGCGGGCTGCTGTGCTGCAGCTGCTGCAGCAGCTGCTGCAGCAGCTCACGCAGCGACTCCCTGGCTGCAGAAAAACACGCATCCCAATCGCTGCTGCTGCTGCTGCTGCTGCTGCTGCTGCTGCTGCTGCTTGCGCGGACCAGCGCGCCCGAAGCGCCACCCGGCTCTGCTGCTGCTGCTGCTGCTGCTGCTGCTGCTGGGGCTGCTGCTGCTGCTTCCTCGGCGTGCAGCAGCTGCAGCAGCTGCTGCTTGAGCTCTTCGCAGCGCTGCTGCTGCTGCCAGCGGGCTTCACTTTCTCTCCGGAAAGCAGCACATTGCTGCTGCGTCTGCTGCAGCAGCAAACGGACTTCTTCATTTGCTGCATCTCTCGCCCGCAGCCGCTCCTCCATCACCGCCTCCAGCTTCTTCACTTTCGCAACAGCAGCAGGCTCTGCTGCTGCTGCTGCTGCTGCTGCTGCTGCTGCTGCTGCTGCTGCTGCTGCTGCTGTTGCTGCTGTTGCTGCTGCAGGCGTTGCGGGCGGCTCCCTCGCGTCGGGGGTAGCTGAAGGCCCTTTCGGCGCCTCCACTCCGGCGCCGCTGCTGCTGCTGCTGCTGCTGCTGCTGCTGTTGCTGCTGTTGCTGCTGCTGCTGCTGCTTGCTGCTGCGAGAACCTCGATGTCCATAGCAACATCATCTTCTAGCTGCCGCAGCCGCAGGTCCAGCTGCCTCCACATGGTTTGAATTGCTGCTGCTTGCTGCAGCTGCTGCTGCAGCAGCTCATTGCAGCACTGCTCCTTGACGCGTTGCAGCGCTGCTGCTGCTGCTGCCTGCTGCTCCTGCTGCTGCTGCGCATGCAGCCGCTGCACCGCTGCTGCTTCCTCAGACGCCCGCTGCAGCTGCTGCTGCAGCAGCTCGTTCTGGTGCTGCAGCAGCTCTATTAGCTGCTCGCCCTTTACCCTTTGGCTCTCCCCGCTCCACTCGAGAGGCAGCAGCTGCCGCTGCTGCAGCTGCTGCTGCAGCTGCTGCTGCAGCTGCTGCAGCTGCCGCTGCTGCTCCTGAGTCGCTAGGGGTGCTGCTGCTGCTTCAGTCTGCACATGCACCTCTCGGCAGCTTCCCCGTCTTTCTCTCGCTTCTGCTGCTGCTGCTGCACCAGCAGCAGCGTCTCCTGCTGCTTCTGCTGCTGCTGCTTCTGCTGCTGCTGCTTCTGCTGCTGCTGCTTCTGCTGCTGCTGTTTCTGCGCAGAACGTCCCGTCGCTGCTGAAGGCCCCGCCGACGACGCGAGGAGGCGCAGCAGAGGGAGAGCGGTGGCTCACAGCAGCAGCAGCAGTAGCAGCAGCAGCAGCAGCAGCAGCAGCAGCAGAGGCAGCAGCAGCCGGAGTTCCTCCTCCATCTTGGTGAAGCGAGAAATCCGGGTAAATGGCAGGTACGCTAAACGGCTCCTCGACGAAATCCGGCAGCTGCTGCTGCTGCTGCAGCGTTAGCTGCTGCTGCTGCTGCAGCAGCTGCTGCTGCTGCTGCAGCGTTAGCTGCTGCTGCTGCTGCAGCAGGTAATGTTCTGGGTTTTGAGCCTCAAGGTGCGTCTGCAGCAGGAGCTCCTGGCGGCTGCCTTCTCGGGGGCTGTTGTCTCTTTCGTCCCTTTTACCTTGCTGCTGCTGCAGCAACAGCTGCTGCTGCTGCTGCTGCTGCAGCAGCAGCTGCTGCTGCTGCTGCTTGAGCCTCAGGCCTGTGTCTTTGCTTCTGCCCCTGTCCGCGCGCCCCTCACTCCACCGCTGCGTGTCTCCCCCGCCCGCGCTGCTGCCGCTGCTCCTGCTGCTGCTGCTGCTGCTGCTGCTGCTGCTGCTGCTGCTGCTGCTGCTGATTTTGTCGCGAATTGCTGCAGGCAGCGCAACAGCGCCGCCAGCCACGAGGCAGCTAAGGGGGGCTTTGGAAGACATAAAAGCTGCTAAGCTGGGGTGTACAGACTGCTGCAGCACGAACTCGCACTCGTGGTGTCTGGACAGCCAAAAGAGGAAGAACAGCAGCACCAAAACCTCGTAGCAGCCGCTGCTGCTGCTGCTGCTGCTGCTGCTGCTGCTGCTGCTGCTGCTGCTGGGGGCCACCAGGGAGCGGCTGACGAAGTGCTGCGGCACTCCCACGCGGTCGAGCACCCACTCAATGGCGCGCCAGTTCGCCGCCGCCGCCTCCTCCCCCCGCTGCTGCTGCTGCTGCTGCTGCTGCTGCTGCTGCTGCTGCTGCTGCAGCAGCAAGCCGCGGGCGAGGCGGGGGGGGAGCTCGCGCACGGCCCGCGGCCATATGAGGCCAAAGAGCCGCAGCAAAACTTCGCCAGAAGCAAAAGAAGAAAAGTCCAAAGAGCCCGCGGGCTCCCCCAGGGCCTCTGCTGCCCACTGCAGCAGCTCGGGGGGCCCCACCAGGGGGGGCCCCCGGGGGCCCCCCACAGGCAGCATCGAGCTGCTGCGGAGGCCGCCCCTACGCAGCGCGCATGCTGCTGCTGCTGCTGCTGCTCCTGCTGCTGCTGCTGCTGCTGCTGCTGCTGATTATGGTGGTGATGGTGGTGAGGATGATGCTGAGGCTGATGCTGCTGCTGAGGGGGAGGGGATGGTGAGGGGGCTGCTGCTGCTGCTGCTGTGGCTGCTGCTGCTGCTGCTGCTGCTGCTGCTGCTGCAGAGCTGCAGCAACGCGCAGACACCCCTTGGGGGTTGGGGGGTCCTCGGGTGTACGGACAGCGCGGCGAAAGGCCTCTCCGGGGGCTTTGAAAAGATTTATTTTTTGAATTAAATAAAAAATTAAAAAAAAAGATAAATAAAAAGGCCAAAGGGGTTGGGAAAGGTCACTTTTGCTGCAGCGCGGAGCCGCGCGAGCCGGGTGTCGGCCCTGGTCTGCTGCTGCGGAAAGTCGCCTCCAGGCGCTCAAAAGAAACCCTTTTTGACGCAAAAACAAATAATTAAATTAATTAAATTCTTTTAATTCAAAAGTTCCTCCAATTCCGCTTTTAAATTCCGAATTCGCGCGAAAGACTGCCGCTTTCCGGTCACACATGCCCAGCCGACAGCAGCCTAGACCAGCAGGGCTTTCTGGGACAACTCCGCGCAAAACGCGGCAAAATCGAAGCAATTCTTTCAAATTAATTCTTTAATTCTTTAAATTAATTCATTAATTCTTTTAAATTAATTATTTATTTGTTTTTTCCCGGAATTTAACTCCAAACAAACGAGAACAGGACCTCCCTTTGGCTCTTCTGCTCTCCCCGCGTGCGAGCGCCCCCCGTGGGAAAGCTTGATGGACTTTTGCTGCTTCTGAGTTGCATTTTGAGCTTTTAAATTCTCTTTTTATTATTTATTTCAAATAAATAAATTCAAATATTCCAATTTAGTGCAAAAAAAAAGAAATTTGCTCCCTAGACACCCCAAATGGCTGCTGCTGCGCCCCCAGCAGCAGCTCTTTCCCCCTTTTCCGCTGCAGCGAATCTTTTAATGGAAAAGCTCCTCGTGTCTGGCTGCTGCTGCTGCTGCCAATGCTGCTGCTGCTGCTGCCAATGCTGCTGCTGCTGCTGCCAATGCTGCTGCTGCTGCTGCTGATGCCGCTGCTGCTGCTGCTGATGCCGCTGCTGCTGCTGCTGATGCCGCTGCTGATGCTGCTGCTGATGCTGCTGCTGCTGATGCTGCTGCTGCTGATGATGCCGCTGCCGATGCTGCGGGTGTTGCTGCTGCTGCTATTGTTGCTGCTGCTGCTATTGTTGCTGCTGCTGCTGCTGCTAATTCTGTCGTTGCTAGTGCTGCTGTTGCTAGTGATGCATATGTTGCGGCTAATGCTGCTGCTGCTGCTCATGGCGCTGCTAATGGTGCTGCTACTGCTGCTGCTGCTGCTAGTGCTGCTGCTGCTAACGCTGCTGCTGCTGCTGCTAGTGCTGCTGCTGCTAACCCTGCTGCTGCTGCTGCTAGTGCTGCTGCTGCAGGGCGTTCGCCCGGGAGCAGCAGCTCTGCCAAACTTAGCAGCAAAAGTCAAGTGCTGTTAACTCAAGGCCCTGCAGCTAGCCCCTGCTGCCTTCCCCCTTAGCTGCAGCCTTTTGCTGCTGCTGCTGCTGCTGCTGCAGCCTTCTGCAGCAGCAGCTGCTGCTGCAGCAGCTGCTGCTGCAGCAGCTGCTGCCCATGCATGCCTCCCCCCGTCTGCTGCTGCAGCTGCTGCTGCTGTGTGTGCCAGCTACCTCGGCAGCAGCCAAATGCGCAGCAGCAAACTGAGCAGCAGCTAGCTAGGCAGCCGCTGGCTAGCCAGCAGCCGGCTAGCCAGCAGCTACAGCTAGCTAGGTAACAGCTAGCTGAGCAGCAGCCAGCTAGCTAGCTGCCTGCTAGCCAGCTGCAGCATAGCTAGCTTCCTGCTAGCTAGCTGATGGCTATCTATCTGCCAGCTAGCTAGCTGCTGGTTAGCTAGCTGCCGGCTAGCTAGCTGCTGGCTAGCTAACTGTTGGCTAGCTAGCTAGCTGTTGACTAGCTAGCCACAGGCCAACTAGCTAAAGGCTAGCTAGCTGCCTGTCAGCTAGCTGCTGGCTAGCTGGCTGCTGGCTAGCTAGCTGCTAGCTAGCTAGCTGCTGGCTAGCTGGCCGTTGGCTAGCTAGCTGCTGGCTAGCTAGCTGCTAGCTAGCTAGCCAGTAAAGCAAATGCTACATTTGCGGCTTGAGAGCTTTGAAGGCTATTCTTCTCCGCACTCTCTCTTGTCGCTTTCTGCCTCTGCTGCTGCTGCTGCTGCTGCCACTGCTGCTACTGCTTCTGCTGCTGCTGCTGCTGCTGCTGCGGCTTCTGCTTCCACTTCTGCTGCTGCTTCCTCCTCCTCATCTGCTGCTGCTGCTGCTGCTGCTGATGCTTCTTCTTCTTCATCCGAGAATATAATTTCGTCGTCGGAGTCCAGCCCCAGCTGTACATACACCCCAAGTGCAGCAGCGCAGCAGCAGCAAGCAGCAGCAAGCAGCAGCAAGCAGCAGCAAGCAGCAGCAAGCAGCAGCTCAGAAGTCCTTTTCATTCTTATTCTCTCAACTCCACTGGCTCAGACAGAAGCAAAGGGAGAGCTGCTGCTGCTGCTGCTGCTGCTGTTGCTGCTGCTGCTGTTGCTGCTGCTGCTGTTGCTGCTGCTGCAGCAAGAGAAGCGCCTTCTCTGCTGCTGTTAGGGCAGGCAGGCAAGAATGCCCGCAGAGTGCACTGAAATATTAATTAAATTAATTAATTAAATTAATTAATTAATTAAATTAATTAATTAATTAAATTAATTAATTAAATTAAACTAATCCAAACTAAATTATTATTCAGAAGACTTTGCCGTCGCCAAAGCTAAGCAGCAGCGGCAGCAGCGGAAGCAGCAGGCCCAACAGCAGCAGGATCAGCAGCAGCAGCAACAGGCTCAGCAGCAGCCGCGGCAGCAGCAGCAGCAGCAGGATCATCAGCAGCAGCAGCAGCAGCAACAGCAGCAGCAGCAGCAGCAGGAAGAAGCATGAGTGCGTCTGACTTCGCGGTCTCTTTGTTTTCTTTTTTCTTCTTCCATTCGAAGTTCTTCCATTGCTTCTTCCCGCAGCTCTTGAATGTGCTTCTCGCTGCAGCACAAGCAGCAGCAGCAGCAGCAGCAGCAGCCCTTGCCCCTTTGCTGCTGCTGCTGCACTCCCGCAGCAGCAGCCCAGCAGCAGCACCAGCAGCAAATCCCCCCCCTCCTCATCCTCCTGCGCAGCAAGGGG